CTGAACCCCTCAACCCCTCAACCCCTAAACCCTCAACCCCTCAACCCCTCAAACCCTCAACCCCTGAACCCTAAACTTGAACACATGAGCCGGCCTCTTTGGACCGCTACTAGGACCGGTCACTTCTTCCTGTCGAAACACCTACTTGGAGGCTCTCCTGACTTAGTAAGTCCACCTAGGGTTTAGGGTTTAGGGATTAAGGTTTAGGGTTTAGGGTTTAGGGACCCCTACGCTCTCTTCATTTGGCAGGTCCACCCAGTATGTACCGCTTGTAACCCTTTGCTAAGACCCCAAACGAACCTCCATAATGCATCTTACGAAGCCAAAGGAGCGTCCAAGCAAAACCCTCTCATCGAAGAAGAAGAACCGGTGGTAAACACCACCCTTCTAAAACTCTTATACAGCCGTACGTAACCATACCAACCATGAAAACAATCGTATAAAGCCTGATGAACTGGAAAAAACCGGTTTAGGGTTTCGGGTTTAGGGTTTAGCCTCGTCGGACATCGCTCTCATCCACTGCACATCGGTGCTGAGATCGGAGTCCGACTCCTTTCTTCGGGGCTAAAAGTTTTAGGATTCGGGGTTTAAAGTTTTAGGATTCGGGGTTTTAAATTTTAGGATTCGGGGTTTGAAATTTTAGGATTCGGGGTTAAAAGCCTCAGGTTTAGGGAAAAGGGTTTAGGGTTCGGGGTTTAAAGTTTAGGATTCGGGGTTAAAGGGCTTAAGGTTTAGGGAAAAGGGTTTAGGGCTCGGGGTTTGGTTCGGGCTCAGGGTTTACGGTTGAGGGCTTGGGGCTTCGAGTTTAAGGTTCGGGATTCAGGGTTTTGGGTTTAGGGCTTGGGGTTCAGGGCGTTGGGCTTAGGGCTCAGGGGTTTGGGGTTCGGGGTTGAGGGCTTAGGGTTTAAGGGTTTAGGGTTCGGCTAGTTGCGTGCTGTCCTTTTGGTGGGCTCGGTATCGGGGCGACTCCCATTCGGGGCAAACCGTGTCCTAAACCCGCAACCCTTAAAAACCCTGCACCTCAGCCCTGAACGCGAAACCCTGCCCGTAAGCCCTAAGCCCTAAACCCGTAAACCCTACTTGGAGGATCATGGGACTTAGTAAGTAGGGTTATAAGTACCTTAAGTGGGGTTATAAGTAATTATCAGTCTAGTTACCTTATTTATAACCCTAGTTACTAAGTCCCATGATCCTAAGTAAACGTTTTGCTTGTGCGGTCGCGGGGCTGGGGCGGCGGAATCCCCGGCTTCCCCGAGCATCCCCCTTTGCCCCCTCCAATAAGGAATCTAGAGGTTTAGTAGCATTTAGGGTTTCGGGTTTAGGATTTAGGGTTTAGGGTTTAGGGTTTAGGGTTTAGGGTTCAGGGCTTAGGGTTCAGGGTTTAGGGTTAAGAGGTTTAGTAACATGTAGGGATTAGGGCTTATGGCAAGAAAGGAGTCTACCTCAGATCGGCGGGGTGTCTAAGGGACCCACTACGGTTGATGGTATAAATCCTGCATTACCCATAATAAGGAATGTACCATGATTCCCACAGAACGTAATGCAGGATTTATATTATCAACAGTAGTACTACTGCCATTCCTATGACCCTAACCCTAAACCCTAAACCCTAAGCCCTAAACCGTAACTCGCATCTGGCTAAAGGTGCAATCCTTGAATTGAAAGAAGCCTCAAACGAACCCTCAAAAGAACCCTAAACCCTAAACCCTCAAAGGAACCCTAAACCCTAAACCCCAAAAAGAACCCGCAAAGGGGAATTTGAGATCTCTGGCTTTCTGTTCTTAGGCTAGGGGTTTAGGGTCTAGACTTTAGTGCTTAGAATGCAGAATTTAGGGTTTAGGCTGTAGGGTGTTGGGGTTTAGGGTTCGGGGGCTGAAGGGTTGAGGAAGTGCTGGGTTTAGAGCAGGGGGACCGCACAAGCAGGTTTAACAAAAGGCCGTAAAGAGTGGAACAGGGCTTGGGTATGCAGCGGTATACTTTCGATGGCGTGTAGGGGAAGGTTATGACTCATTACCATGAACTCTACTTTCATGTTCCCTTGCATTGGATCCCCAGGGCGTCCCGCTGAGCTTGCCAACCACGCGCGGTGCACGTAACTCTGTGACAAGCAAGAACTGGAACAAGCATAGAACCAGAGTTAGTTGAGAGGCTTGGGACTGAGAGCAACACCTTCCCCCGGGTCACTAACCGATCCCATAAAGCCCTTCTTCACCCGTCAGTCCAGGCCTCTGGACGTCTACAAACCCCAAAAAAAAACATTCAAAAACCGAAACATAAGAACAAAGGGCTCGAATTTAAACAATTACAAGCTCCTAGTAGTCCTACTACATCCTAGCACCATCCCAAGACCGCGCGAGTAAGGGCCTGAAACTCTCACAAAATCCGGCGAATTCAGGGCACCGAAAGCCTTGAAACCCTAAACCCGAAACCCTAAACCCCTCAACCCTCAACCCTAAACCCCTGAAACCCAAACCCCTGAAACCCAAGCCCGGCCACCTCCTCTAAGGCGGTGGGCTCGGGGCGCGCCTCCTGAAGGCAATATACGCCTTGTTCTTGCCAGGTGTTGGCATCATAGCCTCAATTCGGGGCTGAGGGTTTAGGGTTTGGGGGTTAGGTGTTTAGGGCTTCAAGAGTTTATGGCTTTAAGAGTTCAGGCTTTAGGGTTCAGGGTTTGGGGTTTAGGGTGTTCAGGGCTTTAAGGGTTTATTAGGGTTTGGGTACCCAGAGGGCCCTGATTGGTTTCGGGGGACCTATAACCCCACTACTGGGGGGGCCCTTAGGATACGGCCTCTAAATGCACTTTTTTGTAAGGCTCTTGAAGGTGATACGCATGGCTTTGATAAGGTTTTTCACATGGTTTACAGGGTCTTACTGTCTTCGAGTAAGGCTTTAAGGCTGTTCATGAGTGCTTCTGAGGTTTTATACAGGGCGATGTAGGGGCCTTCATACTTTGGTTGGCGTAGATTACGCTCAAAGTTCTGTTCTCTGTAGAAGATCTTAAATTGAAGGTGCAAGACTCAAGGTTGCTCAACTTTGACAGCCCTAAACCCTAAACCTTGAAACCTAAACCCTAAACCCTGAACCCTACAGCCTAAGCCCTGGACCCTACACCCTAAACTCTGGACCCTAAACCCTACACCCTGGACCCTAAACCCAAAGCCCTGAACCCTAAACCCTACCTAAATCCTCCCCAGAAAGCCAGAGCCCTATCACTGACGAGTTTAGGGTTGAGGGTTTGGGGTTTAGGGTTTAGGGTTTAAGGTTTGGGGTTTAGGGTTTAGGGTTTAAGGTTTGGGGTTTAGGGTTTAGGGTTTGGGGTTTAGGGTTTGGGGTTTTGTGGTTTAGGGTTTAGGATAGCACCTTTAAAGGAGCCTTAACTAAAGGAGATGTTGGAGGAACCTGGAAGGACCCTACAGCAGTCCAGCGCCAGCTCCGACTCCACAAAGCGTTCACAGGATGGTCGTGGAGGGTGAGGCTGCAGAAGACGGTGGTCCTTCACGAAAACCAGGCATAAGCCATAAGCCTTATGCCATAAGGGTTTAGGGTTTAGGGTTGAGGCTGCATAGACGGTGGTCCTTCACGAAAACCAGGCATAAGCCATAAGCCTTATGCCATAAGGGTTTAGGGTTTAGGGTTTAGGGTTGAGGCTGCAGAAGACTGTGGTCCTTCACGAAAACCAGGCATAAGGAGCATGGTGGGGCGTCGTTCGGGTTTTGTGGGTTGAGGGCACTGTCGTCACCACCTTTTTAGAGTTAGTGCCTCCGGCATTAACCAAACAGAAGACCGCAGCAGGGAGGGCTTTCTGATGTTCCATAGGCCGAGTATGGGGTTTAGAGTACAAGACAGCAAAAGGGGGCGCAACGCACAGGGTTTACGATCTTTCAAACAAAAATCTAAAAAATTGAAAATTTCGTTGTCTAAATTAATAAATCAGTCAGCTTCCCATCCATTTAATTGGGCAACAACCTACTTCCGAAGAATCGCCCTCGCAGACTCTGACCCCCCCACCTAAACCTGTTCTTTATTGCTTTCGTGGAGTTCACAGTCCAGGGCCTTACTGCGAGGGCCAGCTAGGTTGACACATCTTCCTTCACCCCGGGTCGGCCCAGTGCTGCTACGGCGAGCCCGGCTAGAACAGGCCGACCTTCATGCTCAACGTCTTGAACTTGATCCCTAAACCCTAAACCCTAAACCCTAAACCCTAAACCCTAAAGCCTGCTCCTCCCAAAGCAAACGCTTACGGGGAAGTGAGGGTCCCCCTGCTCAGGAGCCCGTCTCACCAGGATTCCAACTGTTAATTATTAATGTTTTTCATGGACCCTTAGGGCTTTAGGGTTTAGGGTTTTAGGGTTTAGGGTTTAGGGTTTAGGGCTCCTAAGCCTACTTCGACTGTGGAGTGGCAGAGAAGAGGGGACCCTAATGTAGAGCCTTAACCAATCGCGCATCCTTCTTGCAAGAGCCCCTGAATGGCAGTCCCCGATTTTCTGGTAACGCGAGTAACTACGAATACCGTCCCTCAGGGTTCCCCTGCATGCTTTCAGAAACGAAGCCCCCAAAAACGATTCTGATTGTGGGGGCTTCTATACTAGTAAACGTTTATGGTAGCTCTTCCAGAAGTTTTTCGTAACCCTTCTGGTTTAGGGTTTATAAGGTTTAGGGTTTAGGGTTTCTCAAGAACTCTATTCTAACCATGACGGCCCCTATAACCAGGCCCTGTAATACCCTTGTAAATCCCTATAACAACCTCGAAAACCCCTGCGGCACCCTATAAACGCGCTATAACTAAAACCCTTACAGAACCCTACAAAACGCTCCTCCATCCCCACCAGCCGGGCAGTTTTCTAGTTTAGGGTCCCGTTTTGGGGGTCCCCCAATATGTACGGCACCCTTTACAAAAAGGACCCCCAAAAGGGATCCTAATTTAGAGCACTACC